AGTGTGGCTCTGCCGGGACCGTGGAGCTGTGAGGAGCAGGCCGCTCCGCGCCCCTCTGGTGTCTTTCTGTGTCCTTGCGGTGCAGGTCGCAGTAACGTAGTACCTATTGCTCCTCTGGGCGCTCTCCGTAGTCGTTGCTTTTGTGTAGCTGCTGGTCTTTCCTCTCACTCTGGAGGACTAGCAGTTGCGTTGGGGGAGCACTGGTTGCTGCTGGCTGTATCCCTGCTTTCAGAGGAAAGGCTGGCGTGGGTTCTCAAAGTGCAGACAGAGCTTTGGTCACTGCTAGAGCCTGTGGAGTCGCTGATTGGAGTCACTGTGTCACTGAAGGAAGAATAGGCATGTGTTTTCTGTGCTTTGCTTTACTGCCTTGTAGTTGGACAGGTACATGCTGATGTTGTTTTACTCAGTCGTTCTAGTCTGTGTGTCTCCCAGTTGCTGCTTATGCATGATGCTTTCTAGAAAGCTTCTTTCTTTCCTGTTTCCATTATTTAGCCACCTCTAATGTACTTTTGTTTGTTGCTTGTCACCATTTTCTTTTGCTTAAAAGTCTATGTGTTCTCTTTCTTCTCCTAAAGTTATGATAGTGTTGTGCTTCATATGAGGTTGAATTACTTTGAGGTGGAGGGAGTGGAAGATTCCTTAGTTGGTTAAATATATTAATGTGCTCTGCTAATACCAGGAAGTTCATTCCTGTTTAAGTTGTTAAACTGCAAAATGATATTCATGGGCTTGTCAAATACTTCCTTGTATTAATGGATGATAATATGTCTGGTGATAATAAATTCTTTTCCCGGTGAGTGAAATTTTTAAGTCTTAAGCACATAAACTGCTTCTGATAAATACCTGAAAAAAATATTCTGTAACGCTTGAATTTCTATATTCTGCTACCCCCTACTGATAGGATGTGAAATCTTTGAGGTGTTCAACGCCCTTTTGAAACTGATCAATATGTACACAAAGCTGCTCAAACCTTGGTTAAATTCACAATATCTGGTCTCTAACTCGTCTGTTTCTAGTAGTGGTTGCCCCTGTACCGCTTTATCTGGTCAGCAGAGGGCAAAATAGAGCTTGGTTTTTCTTCTGAATCTGAGGTGAGCCTCTGAAAACTGGAGGGTTTTGCTACCCCGGTCTTATATTGATGTGATTGCATTTGGAAAGCAGTTTAGACTATCTTTCCTTTCAAATTTCAGAAGCTTTATAAACTTGTATTACTTCCTGGATATTCTGTCCACAGTTCAAAAACTGCAACTGTTTACTGCCAAAAATCTTGTAGGTAAAAGTTAAATGAATACTGGATAGTTCTGGAAAGATGTAAATGGTTTGTGGGAGTAATAAGCCCTCCATAAGCACAAAGAGGTGACTGTGTCTTTGTATGGCAGTCCTGGGACACTGAATGTGGAACCTCATGCTATGCCACTGTCACTTCTGGTTCATGGGTTGCTTTAGGAAGCCTGAGGCTTCTTATTGAATTAAAATGTCCTTTCAGTGTAAACTATAGAGGACAGTTTTATTTTGTGAGTACTCAAATGTGTCAGTTCTCTTTGTCAGGACAGGTAAGTTCACAAGTTTCCAGGTAAACTGGGCAGGGACAAAGAACCCCGATGTTCAGCAGCAAACACTGTGCTCTTGTCTTGCAGGTGGCTAGCAGCCAGTAGCCTTTTTCCTCTGTCATGTATCCACACATCATGCACAGCTCTACAGCAAATTGGAAAGTGGGAGAAGAAGAACAGGGTTGTTTACCCTCCACAACTGCCTGGAGAACCTCGCAGACCAGCGGTAAGGATGCCTCAGGGAATTTCCTTACCTGTTTGGCAGTTTCTGATGAGATTGTCACTGTCTCTGAGCGACTCCATAAGGCACTGGTTTGATAGTTTATTCATCTGTTATTTAAGATTGTAGTCAGTTTGGCATATCTATATTGTAAAAGTTAACATCAATTTGAATGTTTCACATTTCAAAATTATATTGGAGCTTCAAGTGGCAAGTATGTGATGCAAACTGCTGAGACTCCACTCTACATTTGTAGAAGTGTCTGAACTACAAGGGGTAGAAGTTGCCAAGGATATGTCATTATACACTGTTTGTAGTAACAGTAAGTAACCACAGAAGAGTATCACCGTATTGTTGCTTCTGCGCACAAAAATATAAATGTAACTTTCCTCGAGTAGTGGATCTAGTGGTGCCTTTGATGTGGGTACAAGAGAGTATGTGCTCTTTTCACTTCTTAATTTGTCTTTGTAATCAGACCTCAGAGAACATATAATGCGTGGTCTGTTGTTGTAGTCTCCCTTTTGATGAAGCTCTTCAGACGTTGTTTTCTGTCATAGCCATTGCTCAAAACATTCCACATGGACTGAGAGGTTCCGTGGGGAGGGACGTGTCAGTCCCATGTGGTGTATTATTGAGGGCTTTTTCTTAGGAAACTGTTTTATATATACTGTCAGTGGGGTTGTTTCTTCAGTCTGATGCACGATAACTTGTGTTTTACTAAGCCATAAACTGAAGCAAAGAATCTAAACATCCTTTTGTTACCTGTCTGCTCAGTGTAGGGTCTTCTGCTGCTGTTCAAGACAACTTTTGGTAAAGTTGGCATGTGTAACATGGTCAAATTTTTCAATGAAGTCATAATAGCTTGTTTTTTGATGACAGCAGGTTTGTACCTGTTTCTCCCTGTCCCCTCTTACTGATAATTTTAAACTGGGAAGTACAGTTAAATGTTAACAGAAGCAAGCCTCTTCAGATGTGCTTGAAAACTGAGTGTTCTGTATTTGATGACTGAAGGGACTAACCAGCGCTGCTTTCTCTATAGCAAACCCAGGAGAATTTTAAGTTAATTCTTCGCTATTTCCTCACTGCCAAGAACTGATATTTTGAAATTGCATTTTTGTGATTGTTCTTCATTGGGAATTAATGTGCTGTGACCTCTGTTAGGCATCAAAGGGGGGCTTTTTGGACATGTGCCTTTGTGGGCCATGAGCATTTATCGCTTCTGTGAACATTATGGCCTAGGACACAGAAATACTGTGCTGACTAATGCAACGTATGTGAAAATGCAGTTATCAACCAAGTCTTATTAAATCAGTTTTTTACCTGTTCATAAGGAATGCCACCTCTTTCAAATGTGTATTGATGTTAAATTTCACTAGCTAGTTGTGATCCCTGTTAGTACAGTAATAACGTTAACTGGGTCTTTGGAGACAGCTCTTCATGCCAATCAGACTTGAAACCCTCTTCACTTCTGAAGAGCTAATGAAGTTCACTCTGGTAATACTGTTTAGTTGCTATTCCAGTAAGTTGACTTGACAGCAGAGTAGTATTTTTAAGACTGAATGGGCATGTCAGTCCTAGACTGCTTCAAAATGTGGGGAGAAGGAAATGAAGAGATGATGGGGAAAAAACTCTTGTGATTATCTAACTACTTTTTTTAATGCTTTCAGCTTCAAAAGTATGCCTGATTTGGGATGTTCATGGTATGCTAGGAGAAGTCATATTATTCTACTCTTAGTAAGAACAAATGTGGATGCTCCATTCTTATTTTCTCAGCGAAATTACTGATCCTCTCACTTCTGTTTTTTTTTGCACCTAGGAAATATATCACTGTCGGAGGGAGATAAAATACAGCAAAGATAAGATGTGGTACCTGGCAAAACTGGTAAGCAAAACTGCTTTGTACTGTATTTGCTAGAACACCAAATGTAAGTGCCGTATTTGCCTTAACAGCCTCATTCAGGCACAGTCTAATCAGCGTCTTTGTAACAGAGTCCTGGGGAAGAACATGTATCTGTGCAGGCGAGCGACTGTGTGTAGTTTGGTTTAGCTGCTTTATCCTACTACACTCTCAAATGTGTACCCAGGATCAGGTGCAGATCATGCACTGTGGAAGCATTTTTGTGTTTGCTTCTGCCTAGTAGTAGCTGGCAAGGGGAGCTTTGAAGGATAGTAATGGACTGGTTTTCTCTTTAAAGAAAAAATAATTAAATGTCTTGTCAAGATTTATTGAGTATTTAGCTCAGAAGTTCTGTGTGTAAGGTAGTACATTGAAGAAATGGTAATTAAGGAAAGTAGAATCTTTTTATTTGCTTTTTATAATGGCAAAAGTATTTAAATACTGTCTTATGAATAAGAGAAGGGAATTGTTTGTAATTGCAGAAGCTAACTTTAACACTTTGATTGCAGATAAAAGGGATGTCCATTGATCAGGCTCTGGCTCAGTTGGAATTCAATGATAAAAAGGGAGCAAAGGTGATCAAAGAGGTATGCAGTAGGGTTCTTTAACACTCCTAGTTCCAAGAAAACTTTCACATCAATACCCGTCACCACAAGTTTGGAGATGTTTCTATTTCTGTGTTTTTCTGTTTGTATTAAGCCCATTGGGGGTACATTCAAACAATGCTTTTGCAGCAGTCACGCGATGCTGTGATTTAGGAATACACCGAGGTCCCTTGTGCTGCTGGTTTAACTTGTAAGATAACACCCTCTAACAATACTTGGTGTAAGTTCAGGGTAGATGATGCAGAATCCTTGCACAAATGGTTCCTACGTGTATGTGCTTTGGTTCTTAAAATTGTGAGAGGTGAAGAATATCATCAGGGAAGGTTCTGTAAAGGCTTGAAAGCTTTTCATATGCTATAGTTGCTAGGAGTCTCAAATTACTTATTTTCTTGGCCAAAGCATTGATTTCTGGCATCATGATGACCAAGTAGGATCCTGGATTAGCTGAAAATACTGAATGGCCTAAGCTCATTTTGGCCATCATGGAATTTGTTGCAAGTTTGATGTGTAATTAGACAAAGGTCCGTGGATGGAAGGCTGACGCATGCTGGTGGGAACCATCTTTTCCACTCTCTTTCCTCCCCAGTCTATATGCAAAGAACATATTTATGTGAAAGATGTTTGTCTTTTAACAGTTTAGATCTCTAATAAGCCAGGTACAGTAAAAGTATTCTACAAACTTGCTATTTGTTCCATGTTATCTAGAGATAAGAAATAGCATTGCTTGAATTCCTACTCAGCATTTCCATTTCTTTTCCTTTTGCTACAGGTTCTATTAGAAGCACAGGAATTGGCAGTAAAAAAGCACAATGTGGAATTCAAATCAAATCTACATATAGGTACTTTTTGCACCCTTTTCTTTCAAGTAAGGTTTTGTTGCTTTAAATCAACTGAAGTGAATAGAGGATAGTTTCTAGTAAACTTGGCTTTACCAAAGCATGAAGGGCACGTGCTTCTGACTTGCAGCAGAACTGAAGTTAGTGTGCTGGCTGAGCCTTCAACCGTCACTTTGTTGTAGTTGGTGTCTGAGTGGTGTTCTTCTGAGACCTGGATGCATTGTTTGTAAGATATATTCATCTGAGAGTTCAATTTCTGCTGTCTCTGTGAACAGTAAATCCTGAAGAGGGAGATGATTGACATGATCATGAAAGACTAGACAACAAGAAGCAAACAAGTTACTACTTTTTATTGTTGCCAGTGGATGCAGGTGCTGGACGCTTTGCCCATGGCTTAGTACTACTAGGTTTGCAGGATCAGAATCTAAACTTCTGTTTGAAACAGCCTAAAAGTAAATGATTATTGACAGTAGATTTCTTAACAAAAAGGTTTTGCTCTAGATGACTACAGGATAAGTTTGTAATAACTGCAGCACTGTCTAAAAAATGTTAGAGAAATGCTTACTTGTAGGTGGTGTTACTCCCAACTGGAAGAAAATCCCATCTTTCCAAATGTTATTAAGCTGACCTCATAAGCTTTGAGTAACCTGGATTGGAGAGCAGATTTGATTAGAATTCTTTGGAGCCTTCCAGGCCTGTGCCATAAGAAGGTTTATCTGCTAGTGCAGGACTGGATGTGTAGATAATGAAAATACCTGTGATGAATGCAATAAAGGGAGAAGGGAGGGAAATGAAGTCTGTAAGACAGGAATTCATGAGACAAACTGCTGAAAAGGAGCAGAATTA